TGGCCTGAGGGAATAAGGGATTGAGGACAAGGACTTTGGGGTCCTAAGGAAGAAGAAGGCTGGGGATGCCCTGCTGGGGCCCAGGGGAGGAGGAGGCTGGTGCCCAGACGCCTGAGTCCCTGACACCTCCTGCTCCCCCAGGTGAATGTATCTGTTCCAAGGGGTTTTCCTTTCCACTCAGCGGAGATTCAGAGAGACGAGCTGGTAAGAGGAGGATTATTCTGGGTACCTAGGGGGAGAGGTCAGAAGGCAGTGGCTAGGCTGTGACTCCCAAAGCCACACAGGGCCCTGGTGAGCCTCACAGATGGCCTCTGCCCCATGTCCTCTCCATACAGGCACCAGCTGGGACAGGTGTATCCCGAGAGGCCGTGTCTGGTCTGCTGATCATGGGAGCAGGTGGGGGCTCCCTGATCGTCCTCTCCCTCCTGCTCTTGCGTAGGAAGAAGCCCTATGGGGCTATCAGCCATGGAGTGGTGGAGGTGAGAGGCACAAAGACACGGTATATGGGGAAGGAGTTCCAGAACCTGGGCACAGGGGCGCTGTGAGATCTGCGGTCAGGTCTCTATGCCCCTCTGTTCCTCCCCGCCCCAAATGCAGGTGGACCCTATGCTGACCCTGGAGGAGCAGCAGCTGCGTGAACTGCAGCGTCATGGCTATGAGAACCCCACCTACCGCTTCCTGGAGGAACGACCCTGAACCAGCCCCCTTCACCCCTTTGGCTGAGCCCAGAGCTTCCCTCTTCCTGGAGCCCCAGAACCCCAACTCCCATCCTGGGGGAGGGGTCTCAAATTGTTCATTTCACACTCTTTGTGAGGGGACTGGAAATTCTTATTTCCCCTTTCCAATTCCAAATTCCATCCCCAAGAAATCCCCAGGTATTCCCAGCTGCCTCCCTGCTTGGGACCTCCTCACTTTAATTTATTTTGTAAGTTAATTTATTGTTCTTTAAGGTGACCACCAGCTTGGTCCCAGTGTCTGTTGTTCCCTAGAATTCACCCTCCCATGTGATCCCCACTAACATCCCAATAAAATCCTTTTCCCCACCAGGCCATTCTGCGTCTCTTGGGGGGGAATCAGTGTGTAGTCATAGCTCTGGACTCTGGTGCGGATCCCTGCCCAGGCCTCCGTCACCTCTGAAAAACGTATGAAGGATCTTTAAATCTGGGCGGGGCCTTTAGGAAGGGTGGGGCCCAAAGACTTGGAAGGCTCCCTCTGCCCGCTCAGAAGCTTTCCCTGGTGCCAAACGGTGTGTTACTTCTAGACCTGTATTTGCTGAACCCCAGGGTAGACTCCGAGGAAGCTGTTTCTAGCAGTTTCTCCTGCCTTCTGTTCACCCTCACTCTCAGTCACACACAGCATCCACCCCCAACCTTCGAGCCTAAGGAGAGAATGAGGATCTTGAAACTCTCTTCCCATTCACAAGCCTTCATCACTTCTTTGGGAGGCAATAGGAATCCCCCTGATATGTGGAAATCCAGTTATGTCCTAGGGAGGGGTATGTGATGTCTGCAAGCACCTATTGGAATTTAAACCCTCATGCGCCCCATTTTGTAACACTGGAGTTAACCCTCTACATATGCTGTTACCTGTCCCAAAAGGGTTGTTACGGGGATTAAAAGGGTTGATATTTGTGGAGACTTAGAAATGTGCCTGCCATTTCACAACCACTTCACAAGTATTTGTTAAATAAATTTTAAAGCAGTGTGGCAGCAAATACTCATGGCACTCCCTCTGTGCTGAGTACGGCTCCAAGAGCTTTCTTTTTTTTAAGTAGGCCCCATGCCCAATGTGTGGTTTGAGCCAACTACTCTGAGCTCAAGAATCGTGTGCTCTACCGACTGAGCCAGCCAGGCACCCCTGCTCTGAGAGCTTTTTACATACACTGACACACTTAATCATTACTTCGATCCCATAAAGGAGGTATTATGATTATTCATTCCCATTTATAGATTAAGAAATGGATATAAGAAGTCATATCACATGCCCACGGTCACTATACAGGAATGGTCAGAGCTAGACATTCAACCCAGGCAACCTCACCCCAGCACCCATACTCTTGGCCATTTTGCTAACCAGCTGTCTGGTAATTTGAGGCTGTTCAAGTTGTACACTGCAAAATTCCAAGTCATACCATTCACTATGGATTTGCATTTTTACCACAACTTCCCAGCAGGTGGCAGTAATATGCCATGTTCTAATGTCAGCACACAATTTTCTGACATATGGCCTAGGGAGGGAGCATCTATTTCTTTCTTTCTCTCTTTCTTTCTTTTTAACATTTATTTTGAGAGAGAGAGAGAGAAAGCATGAGTCAGGAAGGGGCAGAGAGAGGGGGAGAGAGAGAGAAGGAGAGAATCCTAAGCAGGCTCCACACTGCCAGTGCAGAGCCCAACAAGGGTCTCGAACCCACCAACCATGAGATCATGTTGGACGCTTAACCGACAAAGCCACCCAGGCGCCTGGGAGCATCTGTTTCTAATTTTCCCGAGGGCCTTTGAGCTCACAATGTCTCTTACAATACATGCATGTAAATACAGGTCATGTATATTAAATACAGACCTAGTAGACATTGTGAGGGAGATGCCTACATGATGCAAGTTGGATACAATGCCACAGCTGCATTAGAGAACCCAGTTTGCGACGTCATTCTGATTTCGGTTTTAGCTTCAGTTGTACTGAGACAACCCTAGCAGAAACCTATAACTAGCACCACAGGTAGGGGAAAAAGTTGCTTTTGTGTGTTTTCACAGACATGTGTGATCAACAGGCTAACAATGGGTAAGGAGCTCCAAGCAGATGGAACAGGAAATGAAAGGCCGTTTTGCTCACTACGCTCAGTGTATGATTTCTTAATGTTTACATATTAATGGCAATACTTAGGGTAATTTTAAAACACTTATTATTGAAATTCCAGCAGGAAGAATAACTTTGCTATTATTTGACACTGCCCTCTTTTCCCATTGAAAACAATTTGTTAATTTTTCTTTTAATAATACAGTTTCTTAGAGACATTTTATAATTTTATCATGTTGTGTGTGTGTGTGTGTGTGTGTGTGCACGTGCATGTGTGTGTTGATACATGTTGGGATATACGTCTTCTTTTTAGATTTTTAAAAAATGTTTATTTTTGAGAGAAAGAACGAGTTGAGGAGGGGCAGAGAGGGAGGGGGACAAAAGATTTGAAGCGGGCTCTGCACTGAGAGCAGAGAGGTAAGGTGGGTCTCAAACTCATGAACCTTGATATCATGACCTGAAGTCAGACCTTAACCAACTGAGCCACTCCAGTGCCCTGGGATATGCATCTTATATGTCAATAGAATCTAAGATGCCATCAATGGTAAGAATTGTCTTTAGGTACCACAAAGGAAAAAAACACAAATTTTTTTTTAATTTAAAGTTTTGGTGGTTTTTTTTTTTTTTAATTTTTGAGAGAGAGACAGAGAGAGAGACAGAGAGAGAGCAGGGGAGGGGCAGAGAGAGAGAGGGAGAGAGAATCCCAAGCAGACTCCACACTGTCAGCATGGAGCCCGATGTGGGGTTCGAACTCACAAACCATGAGATTGCGACCTGAGCTGAAAGCAAGAGTCAGACGCTTACCCGAGCCACCCAGGCACCCCAAAATACAGAAATTAAGCCACGCTATGACTGTAAGATTAACTCCAGTTAAATTGTTCGAATCTATGACATAACATTCCCATGAATTCTTCATGGGTCAGCTGCCACTACGTGCATACACAGGAAAGCAACGCATGCTGGTACAGGGAGGTGATGTGGCCTCTGAAACTCCACCTCTCAGTTTCAAGCCCTCGTGTGGTGCCCCCTCCCCAGACTCTGGGCTTGGCCACGTGAATGACTTTGACCAAGGTGATGTCAGCAAGCACGATGCAAGCAAGGGCTTGTTGTCTTGGAACCACCGTGTGAAGAGATCCGCCCACCTTCCTGGGGAGACCACACGGACAAAGAGATGCTCGGTTCCGGCCATCTCAACTGAGCTATCAGACACGTGAGTGCAGTTGGCCAGCTTAATCAGGCCTCTAGCTGACTGTGGCCACATGAGTGACCAAAGCAGGGTAGGACTGTCCAGTAGAGCCCAGCCCAGATTGCAGAATCATGAGCAAATAGTGATGGTTGTTCTAAGCCTCAAGTTTCGGGGTAGAGACAGTAGTACATGCCCTGAAGTGTGCTTGGTTTGTTGTCCTTGAGAGGCTCTGAGCAGTGGGGGGCTATGATGGGTCAGAGGGCTTTCAGTGGGGGAGGGGCTCTTTGAGGGATGAGGCTCAGATGAAGTCCGGAGCAGAGACTGTTGGGGCAATTACGAGAAGGGGGCATTATGGAGGTCATCTCTCTAGGGTTTCTCCTAGAAGCAGGATTTGAGGACAACTTATTGGTAGGGGAAGTGGGATATGACACACAAAAGGGAAAGCAGTCGAGAAAGAGTATGTTATCAAGCCAGAACCAGTGCGGGGCTTGGAGCTTGATTCTGTTGGGAAACTGAGAGCCTGTATAGAACACATACTTCCCCATTATCCTCACAGAGAGGTGAGGGATCTGGAGTATGTATGTGTGTATTTTAAAGAGAAAGAGCAAATGGGGGAGAGGGACAGAGAGAATCTTAAGCAGGCTCCACACTCAGGGCGGAGCCCGACATGGGGCTCAATCCCACAACCCTGGCATCATGACCTGAACCGAAATCAAGAATTGCACACTCAACAGACTGAGCCACCCAGGCGCCCCAGGACCTGGAGTAGTTCTATGCCATCTCCTTCTGAAAGGAGGGCTGTTAGATGGGAAGCAGTATAAACTCGCTGGCATTTAAGGTTGCCGTGCTCACAGCCAGGACAGAGCAGGTCAGACCACCAGATGTTGATACCGTGAGGGTGACAGTAGCACCCACAGTGTCTGCTACAAACCCCCCAGGCACCTTCATCCAAACATGCCTACCCAGCCGAGCACCACAGCCACTCCCCTGCACCAATGCCTCCAGAGATTAAGACAGACAGTTGAGTCCAAATTGAGTTTAATAAGGAGTTCCACATCGGGGAGGGATTCAAAGGAAATGGGGAGATTGGGGACAGGGGGGTCCAGCCAGTGGAGTTCTGAATTAGAAAGCATATGACCTAGGGAACTCACATCTAGAAGAGTCCTTCCTATGTCTCAGAGGTAAGGACCTGAATGGTGTGGGTCTTGGGGAGGTTTGGGGGGGTCATCTTAGGAGCTCTACTGGGTGGCACTGGGAGCTATTTAGGGGTACTCCAAGTACTGTGTAGGGAAATCACATCTGGGGTTCTAGGTGTGAACGGTCGAGTAGGGGAGGGGGCCCCAAAAGATCCCAATGGGGAAAGGGCTAGGGGTCCAGGTGTTTCACAGAAACAATCAAGGGGCCTCGATTTCACAGAAATCATCAAGAGGGCTCCTTGTAGGTGGGAGAGGGGTATTACACCACCCCAAATATTGGGGATTGTTTACACCCCCGCAGCCATTTTGGGGTTTTAATGTAAGACCCCAATGGCAGGACATTCCACATACATTATCACGGATTTGCAACATTAGCATACGCTGGCTGTCCCACAGGACGGTGGGGACTGGAAAATCAGTCCAGGTTCTGGGTTTGAGTCCTAAGAGGACAGGCCTGGGGGTGCCACACGGCTCCTTTTCAACAGCTGCCGGAGCTGCAGACAAGACAAGGCAGAGGAAGAGAAGTTAGGGAGGTTGGAAGGAGAGGTGGGGGACACAAACACTGTGAAGTTGGGGGTTAAAGTGGAGAAGCAGAGTAAGATCAACTGGGTTTGCAGGTCAGAGGTTCAGAGTCAAGATTTAGGGTTAGGGACAAAGGTTCAAACACTGAGAAAAAGGTTCAGGAGCCAGAACTGGGGATGGAAGGAAAGCTGGGGTGTGTTCCCACCTTGGGGTTACCATTGAGGACTGGGAGTCAAAGAGTAGAGGCAAGGGATCAGACGTCACATTTAGGGGTCAGAAGTCCCACTCTGACGTCAGGTCTGGGGCAGGGCGTTGGAGGTCAAACTTGGGAATCAAAGGTCACACTCTGAAGTCATGATTCAGGGGTAGAAGTAGAGGCCATACTCTGAGGTCAAGGTTGAAAGGAGAGGTTAGGAGGAGTCACCAATACCAGGTATGAAATCCAACACTGGGGTCAGAGATCATATTTTCAAGTCAGGGTTGGATAGGGATCAAAGTCACCTTCTGAGATTAAAATCACCCTCTAAAGTCATGAATGAGTAGCGTCAGGCGTTCACCCTGTTAAGTCAGAGGCCACTCTACAGTCAGGGTGGGCTCAGTGCTCACCCCTTCGGGGCCCGGCCCGGGCCGCAGCAGGTGGACAGGCTGCTCATTCTCCAGGTTTCGCAGTGTTGGATCTGCCCCAGCTGCCAGCAGGCGCCGCACGATGGCCTCCTGGGGTGGCCCAGGGGGCAGGGCAGCCGCCATGTGGAGGGCTGTGTTCCCATGGGCCTGGAGACAGTGAGGGGAGGACTGATAAGGATTCAGACTCAGCTGGCCTGGACCCTCGACAGGTACCCTTCATATTCCACATTCTGCCACACCCAAGTCCCACACTCCCGCCTTCACATCCATGTCCCACATGCCCCCAGTGACATCCCAGAATCCCCTCTACAATCACATTCCACACACCCCTCTATGTCCTATGCATTCCCCCAATTACATCCACATCCTATACAGTCCCCTCCCATGCTCCGTACATTGTCCCCTCCACAGCCATAGCCCACAGGACACCCAACATCCCACTGCCCCTCTCTGTCATATCTCATACAACCCGCACATGCCAGCCTAGGCCCCTACCTTCATGTTGACAAAGGCCCGCAAGTCTCCCCGTGGCAGCTCCAGCAGCAGCTGAACCAGGGTGGGATTGGCAGCCTGCACGGCCAGATGCAGAACCGTCTTATTGCTCTTGATTTCCTATAGAGAAGGGAACAGCAGAGGTCAGGCCAGTCCTCACACCCAGGGTCCCTCCCATGGAACCCAAGAGCCTTCAGACACCTTGTCTCCCCTTTACAAGCACCCAGGGGTGCCTTATACAGTTATAGGTGTTGTGCACCATACAAGAGTACCACGTTTAAGGGGGTGCCTTTCACATCGAACGCATCCCAGAACTACACACTTATTATGACAATTTTCCAGCCCAAGTGACTCTGGGTGAGCAGCTGCCTGGCCACTCCACATTCTAAGAGGCACAGTAAAATGTACCTGCATCCCACATGGACAGTCTTTACCTATAAGGATGGGACCTGAGCAGCATCAATCAGGAGCCTAAGCAAGCCTATATCCACTTCTATACTGAGTTGTTCTCTTCATATTTTGGAGCAAATAAATGCATTTTCCAGGGTGAAACCTTATTATGTACCCTTAAAGAGTTTGTAATGATAACGGACATTAAAAAATATTATGTGTTTAGGAATGCCTGGGTGGCTCAGTTGGTAAAGCATCCGGTGCCTCTCTCTCCTCAGGTCATGATCTCACAGTTCATGCGATCAAGTCCCGAGTCAGGCTCTACACTGACAGCAAGGAGCCTGTTTGGGATTCATTCTCTCTCTCTCTGCCCCTTCCCTGCACATGCATGCACGTACGTGCACACACACTCTCTCTCAAAATAAATAAGCCTTAAAAATTAAAAAAAAATATATGTTTGTTTATACAAGTCAAAATAACCTCGTTGGCTCACCAAATATATTATGAAGAGAAGAAAAGGAGATGGAGGGAGAAGCTCTAAATTAAGAGGGACCTTAAAAGTCTTATTATGGCAATATGTGGGCTTTATCTGGATCCTAGTTTTTGTAACGAAAAAAAATAAATATCCATTTAGAGTCAATCAGAAATTTGAACACGGCCAGGAAATTTGGTATTTTGAGATTAATTTTTTTAAGGTGGAATAATCGTACTGAGGTTAAAAGAGTTCTTAACTTTAAAGACACAGATATTTATGGATAAAAAATGCTCGGGTTTGCTCTAAAATAACATAGGGATGCATAGGTGGCCCAGTCGGTTAGGCATCCGACTCTTGATTTCAGCTCAGGTCAGGATCTCACAGTTCATGGGACCCAGTCCCACATCGGGCCCTGTGCTGACATGGCAGAGCCCATTTGGGATTCTCCCTCTCCCTCTCTCTCTCTGCCCCTCTCTTACTCACTGTCTCTCTCCCAAAATAAACAAACACTAAAAATTTTTTTCTAAATAAAATAATATAGGCAAGTGAGGGAATGGATGGGGCAGGACTGGCTACTAGTTGCTGATTATTGATGTTGGGTACGGGGAGTTCACTATACCATTTTCTGTATTTTATCTGTGTTCAAAATTCTTTAACTAAAAAACAAAACTAAATAATAAGTGGATGTTTAATTCTCTCAGCCAGCCTGTGAAGAAGCTACTATCAGAGGAAGGAGAATAATATATTTATGAAGAGGTGGATTCTGGCGTCAGACCACCTGGGTTCTAATCCCTTCTCTGATACTCACAAGCTGTAAGATTTTTGACACTGTGCCTCAGTTTTTCTTACCAGTGAAACAGAAAAAGTGATAATAGCACACATGTCAAAGGATGTTTGTGGACTCAATTAGCTAATCCATGAAACGCAGTACTAGATGAATAGTAGGTGCTGGATAAATATAAGCTAAGATTACATTACTCTTAGGGGCACAGAACAGTAACATTACTCTTAGGAGCACAGAAAAATGAAGTCATAGGCTCAAGTTCACATAGCTGGGAAGAGACAAAGCCAGCATTTGTTTGAAGCCCCCTGGACATCCAGGTGACCCGCCCCACACCATCCAGGTGACCCACCCTCCTAGGGGCGGCCCACTGCCCAGCTCACCTGGCTGGTGTGATCAGCACCCATGTGCAGCAACATTTGGACACAAGCCAGCCTGTCTCGGGCCTGGGTACTCAGCACCCGGGAACATAGGTCAGGTGGGTGCATAGCAACATTGAGGGCCAGGATGGCCGTGTGGAGAGGGGTGAGGCCTGCAGAATGGAGACAGTGAGGGCTCTGTGTCTGAAGCACCCACCCCACCTGCCACACCTGCCCTGCTCACCACCCAACTCACCCTCAAAGTCTCTGGCTTCTAGGTCAACCTGAACCCCAGAGTTAATCACAGCCTGAGTAGGAGAAGGCAGAGTGCTGGATTAGAGTCTCCCTGGGCCTCCTAGCCCCGGAAGCCATGATTTGAGCAACCAGTCCATCCCATCCACCCCCCTGGTCAGCAGGCCATACCGAGAGGACTCCTGGGAGCCCATAGGTAGCGGCCACATGCAAGACAGAACGTCCCCGATGATCAGTGGCATTGGGCTCTGCTCCCAGGTTCAGTAGATCCTCCACAATCAGGGGCTGGTTGGCGGCGGCAGCCACCAGGAGAGGGGTCTGCAAGACATAAGAAGGTCAGTCTGGGGCCCCCGTCTGAAATCCAGGCCCCAGACCTTCTGCCTTCAATCCAGGAGTCCAGGCCCCTGGCCCTCACCTTGCCCTTATGCTCACGAATGTCCAGATGTCTGTACATTTGGAGCATCTCAGCTGCAGCATATGCTGCCCAGCGCAAGCCACGAGCCGCAAACAGGTGCAGGAGCCTGAGGAAGGTAGGGGGACACCAGTGAGCACAGCACCCCAGCTAAGCCAGGAGCATGCAGACTGCGATCCCCTATACTCACGTGTCTCCCTCCTCATCCTGGGCCAGCAGCCGTTGTGGCCCCAAAGCCAGCATGTGAGCACGGGCTGTGTCCAGAGATGGTCCGGTGGTCACGGGAGGCATCTGTGGGGGTCCTGAGGGGAGTCCAGAACCTCTCCAGGATCCTGCCTGTGGCAGGGAAGGTTCTGCATAAAGCCGGGTATCCAGGGGGTCCTGAAGGGTGCATGTGGTGGGAAGAGCCAATCAGCTGAGCATTCTCTCTTCCTAACATATATACATACACATACAGAGTGCCAGGTACAGTGGCTGGGTGTCCCATCTGTACCAAGTGACCTTGGACCTCTGGGCCTCAGTGTTGCCCATCTGAAGAATAGGACCTTAATCCGGCATGAGGGCAACTGGGGATTTTAGGGGCCCTTCAGTATCCTGTTCCCACTCTGTATCTCACCTCCATCCCCACAGAAAATGGACACTGGCGCCCTGGGTCGGAGGGTGGGTAGAAGTCGGGAGTCAGGAAACCTTCAGCAGCAGAAGCAGGGTAAGAGTAGGGGCTGTCTGTGTAGGCAGCATGCGTGTTGGGGTCCCAGTCTGGAAAGCCTGTGGTGGGGGCCAGGCTGCCAAGTCCAGAACCCACAGTCTCCTGGTGTACTGGCAAGCGAGAATGGCCTGTGTGTGAGAGGAGGAGCAGGGGCAGGCCTGGTTACCAGAGTCAGGGAAGTCATCAAGGCTGGAGGACCTGTGTGAGAGCCCGGAACCTCCCAAGGTGCTGGGAGCTAGTCCTCGTCCGTGTGGGACACCAAAGGGCTGGGACCCCGAATCCAGGACGCCGAGGGGTTGGAAGCTTGGACTTCTGAAACCTGGACTCCTGGGACACTGTGGGGCTGAGGGCCTAGACTCCCGGAGCAACAGAAGGCTGGGAGCCTGGGCCCCTGCAACACGGAAGGGCTCCATACATAGATTACAGGGCTCCAAAGAATCTGGGAGATCAAACTGCCACTGGGTCCCAGCAAGAGAAGGTCTGACTCCTACGCTCCCAAAAGTCCTAAGATTTGGAATGTTTGAGTCCCTGAAGAAAGCTGGGGCTGTGAGCTGAGGGAAGCAGATGATTTTCCAGACTTACCTGCCTCACTCTCATTCACAGATGGGGTCAGGGACTGGGCCAGAGGAGGTGGAAACTGTCCCTGTAGAGGCAGAGACAAAAAGGAACAAGGGAGAATTTATATGACCGATCCCTCAGCATCCACTCCCCCACCCACAGCGTATCTAAGTCAGGACTAGCCTCTCATCTGTTCTGAGGGCCCAGCAGGCCATCAAGTCCTTGCCCAATGGGGCAGAGCCTCATGAGAGTTGTAGTTCACAAGCCTCCATGGGCCTTACCGGTACCCCACCAGCATCAGGCTGCTGCTGACGGCGCCTCTGTTCCTCCAGGAGCTTCTTCACTGTTTGTGACGGGCAGTGGCTGCGTTCACCCCGGCTCACTAGGGTGGGGGGGGTGCAGAAATGGAGGGAAATAATTAGGGGTCTTCAAGTCACCCAACCACGCAGGGGAGTGGTTTTGGGTCCCTGCCTCGCCCTCCTGCACGGAAAAACTGGCACATTGACTCCGCCTGCGAACTCCAAAGCCAATCTTAGCTTTCAGGTGCAGCATCCGCCTCCGCCGCCGCCGTTTCCTTCCCTTTGCTTCGCACTTTCCCCTCTGACCCAACTTTCCACCAGCGTCGTGGAAACTGAGGAAGGGGGAGGAGGGCGCTCCTCTGCAGCACCTCCCCCCAACTTCCGTGAAAAATCCCAGCCCCCAGATCTCCCATTCCCGAGGCCTAGGGGGTCCCTGGGAATCACTCCCTGAGACGCATGCACATCTAGGTTCTCAACATCTCTGCCCTAGAAGCTGACACACTTTCCTCTGGAAACCAGGCGTCCGAGTCCCCAGCCCCTCTCCCCAAGGAACCACGAATCAATAGCCCCTAGCTCATCTAGGTTCCAGAAGTCCAGACCCCATTTCCCCTCGAGACCTAACAGTCCAGGCCCCATTTTGCGGGAGTCCGAGAGCCTAGCACCCGTTTCCCCAAGACCCAGGAGTCCGGGCCCTCAGCCTCTTCCTCTCTAGCACTTGGGAGTCCCAGTTTGCAGAAGCCTGGTCCACACCACCCCGGAAGTCCGGGCGTTCAACGCTCACCCTTCAGAGCCCGGATTCCGGAGGAGGAAGGGTTAAGCGGGGGAGGGCCGACTCGGAAACAGCCCAGCCGCGACGCGCTGACGTCACGGCTCTCACGCAAGGGAATCTTCCAACCACCCCTTCCACGCCTGGCCGCGCGCAGCAGGTGTCCCGCTGAGAGGCGGGGCGCTTGGCCAAGCGTGGAGCGCGTGGAATCCCCGCACGTGGGGAATTCCCGAGCAGCCCAGGGACCCAGGGCTGGTGGAGACTCGGGAATTCCCGGGGTGGGGGGTAGGGTCAAGGCCTGCGTGGACCCCTGCGGCCAGGCGCCGGATCTTACCCCCGCGGACCCGTGGCTGATTTTTAAACAACCACGCCCCCTCCCCCAGGACTCAACCTAGCCCCTTTCTACACTCCTTCCCAGCCCCGTCCTCCCACAGGACCCAGGGGTCGGGCCTCCAGCCCCTTCACCTCCGGGACCCGGGATTCCGAATCTCCAATCCCCTACCGCCCAGGACCCAGGAGTCCAGAGTCCCAGCCGCTCCTCCATCACCACCCAGATGCCCGGGCCTCCTGGCCCCTCCAAACACCAAGTACCCTGACTCTCAGCACCCAGGCCTGATCCTCCCAGCTCCGTCTCTGGCATCCTCAAGAGCCGGACTCCCAGCCCCTCGCTCCCTCAAGGGGCCGAGCGTGTCTCACCTCCCCACCCCACCCCCATTACCTCGGGGATTCCGTGGCGCGGATTGCGGGCCCCCAGGGCCGCGGCCTCGGCGCTGCGCCAGCCTCGCTCTTTCCCGCGGAGCCGCCGCCGGGTCCCCGATCTAGGGTTGGTGCCCCGCGAGTTTTTAAACTGGGGTTCTAGCACCGCCCGGTCATGGGTAGGGCCCCGCCCACAGGCCTGGGAGTCCCCGTGTCGCGCTCTAGCAAGCCGAGTCTCTGAATGGGCGGGGCTGACACTGCGAGCCAGACTCCGGAGTCTCCCAGGAAAGAGGCAGCTGGGGGCCCCATCTTAGGTCTGAAGGAGAAGTGGGCCTAAAACAGCCAAGTCCTGAAGGAGGAGAGCACTGAGGGCCTAGACTTCTGAGGCTCTATCCAAGGGGGTGTTGGAGGTTTCGATTTCTGGGCCTTGGGCTGAGAGGGGACAGTATTACTGTGTCCTGGGGGAAGAGGGGACTGGGGTCCCGGTCCCCAGGGAGGGAAGATCTGTTGGTAAGAGCGACCATAGGTGGGCTCAAATTTCTCCCTTTCCCCCACATCACCTTCTTTTTCAGAGGGCAGTTCTCATTCATTCATCATCGTTAAAAATGATTTATTACTGCAAGAGAGGTACTTTGCTGGGCGCTGTGGTATAGCTGTGAACTAAGCAGCCAGGAATTCCCAGCCCTCAAGCCAACTGACATTCCAGGGGAGGCTCATTCTCGGTTCCCATCTCAGTGATCATGTTAATCATTTCTCCCAGGCTCTCAAGGCTTCTGCTCTCCTGGTTCTCCTCCCTCACATGCTGTTGCTTCCCTGGCTGTTTCCGCCTCTTCACCCATTCTTGGGGGCCAGGGGCACTCCTCTGTCTGTACTCACTTCCTTGGTGACCTCATCCAGTCTCGTGGCTTTAAATACCATCCATAAGCCATCAACCTGAAAATTTACATTTCCAGACCAGATTTATCCCCTGAATTCATAGATGCAGCTGTGGTCATTCAGTTCCACGAGGAATCTGTCAGGCATTTCCAACTCAGTGTCCCCAGACCTTGACACTTTCCCCTAAACCTGCTTCCCCTCATTTGCCATCTCTGTCAAAGGATGCCCCAACTTTTCAGTTGCTCAGTCCAGAAGTTTTGGTCATCCTGAATCCCTCTGTCTCTCACATGCCCATACCTACATGGTTAACAAATTTTGTTGGTTCTACTTCCAGAATCTTTCCATCTCTCCAGTGCCCACAACGTGGTCCATCTGTCACCTCCCACCTGGACAAACATAGCAGCCTCCCTGGTCTCTGACCCTACCCCCAAAGGCAGTCACAGGGACTCACCACTTCTACCCCTCCCACACACACAGGAAGCAGGTGGCCTTGTCACCAGCAGGGTGATATCCGCTATTGCTTGCTTCTCTACTCCCCCACTGTTCCTCAGGACTTCTCTGGACCAAAGCCTTTTGCCAGACCCCTTCTAGCCCCTACCCACCATGGCCCCTTCCAGTGACATCCTGTTCCTGCTTTTGCTCCCAGGTGAAGCCAGTGGCTATGGGGGGTGGCAGGCACGGTATTTATGAAAAGGGTGGCTCAGGTGGCATCTGAAGGGAGGGGTGCTGAGAGCAGATCCTCCCAGTACCCCTTCCTTCCTCGAGATCCATTTGGCTTCAGAGGCTGGTTCTTTGGGGAGAGGAACGGAGTCTGGAGCCTCTGCCTGTTAATCGCCCCATCTCCCTGCTGGGTCTGTCTCTACTTCTTCTTCTGATTTCCTATCTCTGTGTGTCTTTGGGAGCTCCCCTTCCCATCTGGCCTCTTTCTCATCTGCTCCCTCTGGAATGGAGGTTGCTTCTCAGGACACCACCTTTCCCTGCACCCTGTTTTGGGAACCACCTCTCCCTGCTGACCTGCCTTCCCTCTCTTTTCACAGTGGCTGCGGCTCTGACAACCCCAGGTGAGAAATCAGCACTCCTTCCCTTTTGCCATGGCCCTTCAGGTACCGCTTCTGTCCCTAAAGTGTGGCCTGAGGGTCCTGGAACACCCCAGGTCACCACCTCACCTCTCACCCCCAAATCAGAGCCCCCAGAGGAACTGCAGCCCTCTCTGGGTCCCCGTATCACTGCTCTCATCACCAAATTGAAGCCCCAGGGACTCAGCCACCCCCCAACCTTCTTTGGGAGTACCCACTAGGCCCGAAGCACCACCCATGTCTCTCTGTGCTGGGACACCCCCACCTGTCTCCAGTCTTCCACCTCCCCTTTCATCCCCCAAGTCAAACCCAGAGAATCTCAGACACCCGCCCCCCCCCCCCCAACACACACACACCCCAGGGACTTCCTCTGTCCCATATGCCCAAAGTGCAGTCCTGAGGGTCTGGAACCCCCTCCCCCCACCTCAATCCCCTTCTGTCTGGGCGCCACCCACCAGGTTCCTGTTCCGGATGTGGGCCCCCCTCCCTGCCGATGCTGGTAGGCCTCATGGCCGCCGATTTGGTGGTGTCGCTGCTGATCCTTGCTGTGGTGTTTGTGTGTGCTTGCCCCCGCCGCAGGCCCACCCAAGGTGAGGGCAGAGACAGGATGGGGCCCGGAGGGGCTGATGGCCCTAGGGAGGGGGTCCCCAGGGAGGTGTCCCCCAGGGAAGCCCTGGAGGATATGTTGGGGAAACCCTGGGGGTGGTGCATGGGGGAACTCCTGAGGAAACCCCTGAGGCAGGGGGTCCCCAGGAAGGTGGAGACGTGGGTGGCTGGTAGGTGGTCAGGCCTCATGCTTTCTCTCCCCCCACCCCCAGAAGATGACAAAATCTACATGAACATGCCTGGCAGGGGCTGACCCCCTTGTAAGTGACACCTTTGACTTCTGACCCTCTCATCCTACATTGTGTGTGGTGGCACAGGATACCCACTCCCGACTTGGATTGGAATAAAGCAACTGAAATACCTCTAGTTCTGTTTGTTTGTTTGTTTGTTTGTTTGTTTTTTAAGATGTTTGGGGGGGGGGCGCCTGGGTGGCTCCATCAGTTAAGCGTCTGACTCTTGACTTTGGCTCAGATCATAATCATGTGGTTGGTGAGATGGAGCCCCGCGTCTGCACTGACAGCTCAGCACCTGCCTGGGATTCTTGGTCTCCCTCTGTCTGCCCCTCCCCCACACTCTCTCAAAAATAAATAAATAAACATAAAAAAAAAAAAAAAGATTGTAAGGGCGCCTGGGTGTGGGTGGCTCAGTCGGTTAAGCATCCAACTTTGGCTCAGGTCACGGTCTCCTGGTTCGTGGGTTCGAGCCCCGTGTGCTGACAGCTCAGAGTCTGGAGCCTACTTCAGATTCTGTGTCTCCCTCTCTGCCCCTCCCCTGCTCACGCTCTATCTCTCTCTGTGTCTCAAAAATAAATATTAAAAAATTTTTTAAAAACAATTTAAGTCACCTCCACAACCGATGTGGGGCTTGAACTTACAACCCTGAGATCAAGAGTTGCACGCTCTTCCAACTGAGCCAGCCAGGTGCTCCAAAACACCTCCAGTTCTAAGTCTTCCTCAAAGAACCCCAGGGTCCCCAGAGCTTCCCTCCCTCCCAGGAACTTCACATATCCCCTGCTCCTTCAGCCCAGAGATCTGGAATAACTCAATAGTGTTTTTGTGTGCCATGTTTATTTGGGAGCAGTGGTGGAGAAAAGTCTGACATCTCAGGGAGAGCACTCTGGATCTGTATCTCGGTGGGAGGAGGAATAAGGTGCTGGGTAGGCATCAGGAATGACTGGATCCAGGCATCAGGTTGTTGACTGCTGTGGTTTGGGCTCATTTGTAATATGGCCTCTGTGTGTTGAGGTCACTGTAGACATCTGACCTCTGACCTTGGAGCTCCTAATGGGAGGGACAGGGTGGGAACCATTAGTGGAAGAGGTACACTGAATAAACTTAAAACAAAATTCAGCCTTCTCCCAGTGGCCTGTAAAGCTCCTAGCAGCTTCGTCCGCCTTGCAGCCATGGAAGAGATCTGGATTTTAATCAAGTGCAGTATTTCCCTTCCTGCTCTGCCTCACCATCATGTCCCAGCCTCAGGGCCTTTGTGTGTGCTGTTCTCTCTGCCTAGAACACAGGTTTCCTAGATATTCCCATGGATGGTTCCTTCTCCACCTGCAAGTCTCAGCTCATGTCACTTCCTCAGAGAAGCACTTCTTGATATACCCCATCTCATTTCTCCCCTCCACACGCACACCCCAGTCGCTGCCACACCAGCTTTATTTCCCTCATGATACTTCCCCCAATGATATTATGTTAATTTGCTTCAAGTCCATCTCTCCAACTAGTACGTAAACTGTTGCTGTGTAGGTGCTCAACAAATTCTACCAAAGGATAAATAAATTAGAATAACGCTTTCCCCCAAAATTTCACCGCTCCCGGTAACTGAAAATCTCCCTCATTCTTCTGGACCTCATGGAGCCAAACTCAAGATTCTTACACCTTACAAAAAGACTTTTTAATCCACAAGGGAAGCAGAGCAAAGCTGGCTGCAGGTAAGTAAGAGATTTCATAGAACAAGGCTCACAATTGAGGGGGAGGTTTATGGTCCAAAGAGACAGACTTCAAACTGAATCCCTGAAATCATATGCAAACGACTGGTCTGGGTGCACACCTCGATGGGAAGGGGTCTGTTCAGCTTCCATTAGATTCTCACAGGAGCCCATGACCCCCAAAAGGGTTGAGAAGGACATTGACAGAGAGGCAAGAGAAGGAGAGATGCCTCTGTCTGCACGGTGGTTCTTAAGAAGGGTTTCAAGGGGGGCGCCTGGGTGGCTCAGTCGGTTGGGCGGCCGACTTTGGCTCAGGTCACGGTCTCGCGGTCCGTGAGTTCGAGCCCCGCATCGGACTCTGGGCTGATGGCTCGGAGCCTGGAGCCTGCTTCCGGTTCTGTGTCTCCCTCTCTCTCTGCCCCTCCCCCGTTCATGCTCTGTCTCTCTCTGTCTCAAAAATAAATAAAATGTT